TGTTTCCATCCTTAAGCGAGTGTCTGATACATGTAAACTATGGACTTATCATGCATGATATTGATGGTGGCTTACAAAAAAGAATATCAGCAGCATAAGCATTCCATGATTATGCAAAAAGATGCTGGCATATTAGTAGTTAAAGTTTGACAATTTCTTAAAGCCTGGTTATGGGACAAGTTTTTTGCTGGTCAAAATGTATCACAAATGGAGGTTGAAATTAACATGAAAGAATATACAGTATATTACAGTAGAATATTTTTTTATGTACCATTATGCTATCTCATTGTGAAATCCATATTTTTTCTTTGATTAGGGTGGTCAGTAAGTTTATTGCAGGAGCTTTATGCAGTTGGAAGATGTAAGAGCTATAGTAACTTAAATTCAAAGTCCTTAGTGCCATTCTCTAAGGTAAAGGCATTAATGTGCAATATTCATCACTTAGGTAAGTTTTTGAATATAGTGATGGTTTTGTATCCCATTTATTTATAATTATTGAATCAATGAAGTGCATCTGTAGCATTTTAAGAGAATGAATGACCTGTGTATTTTTTATAAAGTTAATAAAAGCAAATAAAATATTTTTGTCATTTATTGATACTTTACACTGTGGCAGAAAATTTATAAAGTTAGCAAATGGTATACACTTTCAAAGTAATGATGTGAGAGTTGCCAACACTGATGAAATTTAAGTTATTTTGCAACTCTAAGATAATAAACTGCAGTTAATGTATTTATAGTTGGCAGTCTATTATATGTTGTTGAGATTATTGTATGTGAATGACTCATTACAAACACTTTGATGCCATATCACTCTGAGTCCAAGCATCTTTTCATATTGGAAGGATTACAGTCTAAGGCACTGTATGACCCTTTTGGGTTTAGATCTTAAAATGACTACAATAATAATAATAATAATATTATTATAATAAAAAAGAAGCGCTAAGCCACAAGGGCTATACAGCGCTGCAGGGTAGGGAAGGAAGCGAGGGTATTGGATGGCAGAAGGGAGGAGGGATGATCAGCAGGTTACAGAAAACAGCGGGGCAGGGGATAGTACGGGGGTAGAGGGTAGCAAGAGATTGAAGTAGAAAGGGCTGAAGGTATCAGAATTTGTGAAGTAAGTCAGTTATTGTCAAAAAGTCAATGAGAGTGTCCGGATGAAAGGTGGGTCCATCAGCGAGAAGGGAAGTGTAAAGAGGAGCAGCGGAGCGAAGCGACGACAGAGGTAAATTCTGCATGCTCGTTGATAAAGGGCAGTCCCAAAAGAATTTTTGGAAAAGGG